TATACATCTAATATGATTGTAATGCGATTCAAATTGTACTACACCGCTAATAACCTTTGTAGTTGATACGGTTATATTAAATACAAAATAAAACATCAACAACACATACATTATTTTGGCATTGTAGACAAATACGAGAAAACGAGGAAATAGAATTACAATGCACCTATCAAAATTTCTGATCAGATACTTCAAAACAAAAATGATTTTTCGAAACATTCATTACGTTTTTTGTATGTCTGAAGGAAATCATACTGAAAATACTAGCTTTGTGAATTCCTATCTAGGAAAAGATAATACGGGAATAAAGAACATTATCATCCTGTACAACTGCAAAAAGTAGACTGCAATTAGAATAGACATTGCTTTCGATATCAGCCAATTCAATCTCAAAAGTTTTTGATTGCCGGCATGACTAGACATGCGATAGCTACTAGACAATTCGCAAAAAAATCCCTAATCAATACCTTTGCACGCCTCTGTCTGCAATGCTCGTACCTCGTACTCCTACCATATCGATCGAACATGTTCTGTGTTCTATTAGAAAAGTCATTACGCAGATAAAATTATATCAATTGTGGGATAAATTGTATCTAACATAAAGCAGATACGTCAATTACTGAAGAACTAAATCAGATTTCGATTGGGAATTTGTACTGAAATACGTGAGAACGTTTCCTTGATCTTCGAGGAAATGTTCTGAAATCTTTGAAAATCTTATTTATTGTACTGGTGAGACTTGTACTCATACCATGTTTGCCATTTATTTTATTACAGGAACTTGAGAGTTGAGAAAACTTTTGTTAGCTTTTTCAAACTCATTTTAGTTCACTATGTATTTCAAATAATGTAAGTAAATATCACAAAGTATGTTGAACGAGTTTCTAGATTTTGGTCAATATTTCAAATTTTATCAAAACAAAAATGATATCGAAATTCAATATTCGAGTAGTATGTTCACTTGAAGAGAAACTTTTTCTATGATCCTGAATGAGATACTGAAATATTTCAAGTATTTATTGTGTCTTCTTAATCGGAACATCATACGAACTCTTACTTTTTATAAAGGTATATTTAACTAGTGAATGTTTCGATTCCAGATCGCCTGTTTTTCATGATACATAAAAATTAACCCAGCCTTCCCCACATATTTAGTTAGTGGTGTGATGCAAAAGTAATTGAATTTCATATTTAAATTTTCCACCATCAATCTAGCCGTCAGTAGTTAGTTTTTGAAACAAAATAGTCATCTTCCCGGAAACCGAAACACATTATTCTCATTATTCATAGAAAGACAATATCTTGGATTATTGGTTATATCTAGCACACAACGTACAGTACAGTATCTATCTATTGTCATAGTTAAACTCAGGAAAATATTTGTATTCATTAGTGTTTCCTTCATAATTTTTCAAAAATGTTGAACCGACACAACTCTAATATTACAATTTGACAGGATATTCAGATTTAATTTCATGTTATTATACACGTATATTGTTCTTTAGCCCATTAAAACAGAATTAATTTTAGGAGTTGTAATTTCTCAGACTTTCTACAATATATAGAAACTGAAGTAAACAACTTTTTTGCGCCATAATAATCTCAACATGCTATCCAAGTACCTATATCCTGATAAAATGAGGTGAATATTCAATTTTCGTTACGAACATTCAATTAGCACTTTTTAATTTTTTTTTAATGTTTGTACACTCGTCCTGAAGATATGGTCACAGTTTCACTTGTTTAGCATATTGAGTTTGTTGGTGAGAGGCTTAAAGGTTACAAATGTTTTGCGTGTTCGGCGATTTTCTGCTATCGAAAAAAAAGGATCAAAGAATTTGCATCTAATTTTGGGTGAAAAATGGAATTGAGTGCTCAAAAACACTTGAAATATGGACAGTGGCATACGGTAATTGTACTCTGAGTCAGAAAAATTTTCACAAGTGGTACAAGCTTTTCACAGAAGGTCGAGAAGATGTGAATAACGACGCTCGCCCTGAACGACTCAGCACATCAACAACCGATGAAAATGTTGGGAGAGTGAAGAAAATTGTTATGGAGAATCGTCGAATCACTATCAAAGAAGTTGCTGAGGATGTCGGCATATTGTTTGGCTTATGCTATGCAATTTTTTCGAAAATTTTGAGCATGAAGCGTGTGGGAACAAAGTTCGTCCCGAAATTGCTGATTTTTGATCAAAAAACCCGCCGCATGAGGTATTGTTAAATGAAGTCAACGCCGATCCAGATTTGCTTAAATGGGTCATAACTGGTAACGAATCATAGGTATATGGTTGTGACATTAAAACCAAAGTCCAATCGTCCCAATGAAAGAGCCCAGGAGAACCGAAACCAAAAATAGCACGCCAAGTCAGATCAAAAGTCAAGGTTTTCCTCACTGTTTCCTTTGATTACCGTGAGGTGGTGCATCAGGAGATCTTTTCACATGGTCGTACAGTCAGTAAGACGTTTTTATCTTCTAGTTTTCTGCGCTTGATAGCAACAATACGAAGAAAACGTCCGGTATCTTGAAAAAACTATTCATGGCTTTTGCATCAGGACAACACACCTACTCACGTATTGCTTGTTCGTAATTTTTTTACCAAAGATAACACCGTAATCATGCTTCAGCCACAGCATTCACCAGTTTTTGCACCCTGCGACTTTTTTCCTGCTCCCAAGATTGAAGAAACCCATGAAAGGACAGCGTTTTGCGGCGATTGAGAAAATAAAAACGAATTGCTGAGATAGTTTGAGGACAAATCAAAACTGTTTCGAGGATTGGAAAAAACGCTGGTACAAGGGTATTATATCTGAGAGCGACTGATTTGAAACCGTGCTATCAAATTTAATCCACTCATCCCTGTCAAGGTTGTATGAAGCAACGTTATCAGGCTTACTAGAAATTTTTAGATTTTGATTGGAGGTAATTATGATTTAGGTGCTCATCAGCAGCGCCCGATCTAGAGAGGGGCAAACCGGGAAATTGCCTGGGGCGGCAAAATTGAGGGCGGCGCGGCGTCGGCGGCGAAAATTTGAAGGATGGTTAAACAAAAAAAAACCACACCCTACACAAAAGGTGTTAGAATATAATATATTACTATTGACATCACAGAAATTTCACATCATATTTTAGTAGATTACAAAAATTACACCATCTATGGATTAATGCATGGGTAAAAGGCGGCAAATATTATTTTCCCCGGAGCGGCGAAATAGCTGGATCGGACGCTGCTCATTAGTAGGCACTGTTCTTTGTGGTATTTACTCGTTGACACTGTTAGTGTGTATCGTCTGTATGTTTAACTATCAATGAATCAAACCGACCACCTTGCACTTTATATACTCTCATCAATTCACGGACAACCCAAATTATGTCCAGAGGAATATGATATACATCTAGCAGGGGCCTTACAAACCTGTACAGAGTGCTATGAAACAAATTGTGGAAATAGAGGATAGTCTAATACTCATGACGTCAAATCTCTGTCGCTTTCAAAAAGAGCAATTTCTTCGGGAGTTTTTTTGGGAAAAATACCTCGGAAAAAAACTCTGACAATCCTACCACTGATCTCGCCTGTCAGTATTTCAACCCATTTCTGTATATAGTGTTTCGTCACTTTTATGGACACCATCCCATTTGCATTCATTGGCCCTGCTCAATTATCGAGTTATTGACGGTTTGTTTCGAATTGGGTAACAAAACACGACAAAATCGCTGCTTATTACATGTAAACGCGAAAGTAATAATCACCCGTGTTCGCCACCCGTTTGCCCTGAGGCTGCGACTACTTTTTCCGTTCCCGCGATCCTCTTTATCATTTTGTCAGTAGTTAAATAATAATTTATCGATCCTCTTCACTATTACCATTAATCACGGGCCAATTAACCCGATTTTTTCTCGGCAGAGCTTTCGAGTCGGAAACATCGCGCTGCAGTCTTTTATTAAAAAATTTCGTCAATAAATTCGGTGATTTGGATTCGGATCATGCAGAAACTTGTCTTGCAGACGTCGAACGGTGTTCGGGACTCGGAATATTTCCTCGTAGCTGTTAAAAGGCTGCAGGCACTTGCTGTACATCGGAAATTTATGGAATGGTTGGCAGTGCCAAGGATACCCAAAAATAAACTTCTCGGCAAAAGGCATCTTTTATTGCAGGATTGCAAGTTCTGTTGTGTATTCATTTTCTACATAGTTACGGTAAAATGTATCATTTTTTTTCATCAGTGCTTTTTCTAAGAAGAGCAATTATGTAGTTTTACTCGTCATTACTCGCTCTGTCAGCTCAAAACCTTGTAACCTCTTTTGATAGGTCTTTAGGTTTACTTTTCATTACTGGTTTATTTTTTGAAATCCAAATCCAGCCAATTTCAAACAAAAGCGATACAAACAAATATGAATATTACAATTTCAATTTTCGATAAATGTTCAGAATGATAAGCTTCTTCCCAAATTTATTTGATACAATTTGGAATGTTTCTGTGGCGATTTTGTGAGTTTACTTACTATCGGAACGATTATTCATGAAATAAATGTAATAGAACACTTGACTCGAGAAAGCTATTTTCTTCAAGTCAAATATAACACTTTTTTAATTCAAACTTTACAAGTAAACATCTTACAGAAAACTTTATTAGTATTTTTGTGATATCAGTGTATTTCCTTCAGTTTTTACAAAATAACTCATTGCAAAAATGGTTCGTTCTCAACCTTTGAACGAGAAAATTGAAACTGATTTAATTTGATACAAAGCGGTTCCAATAACTCAATACGTTGAAAGTACTCAATAGTTTCAGATAACCACATCGCAAAAGTAATATTTTTTGAAGAAAATTCAAGCGGCCCCCTTCTTTTATCTGGATATGCTGCAGTCGTATGACTGAAATTATTTAGAAAAATTCAATTGAGTTATTATTTAATGTTACGATTAAGTGAAGAGAACAAGAGTTGTTTTCTTTGAGACATCTGCATTGTTCTAATCATTTCTTTGTCATTTTCAGGTGCCGACCTGGTTGGAAAGGGGACTTTTGTGATCAATGTGAACCGTATCCGGGATGTAAACATGGGTACTGCAACGGGTCTTCCTGGCAATGTATTTGTGATACCAATTGGGGTGGAATACTATGTGATCAAGGTGAGAATAAACATAAAATGTTTGGGTGAGACAGGATAACTATAGCTATTATTTCAATATTTTTCTGTAGAACACTGATTTTTAAATTTGAGAAGTACATTCTTTTACTTGAAATATTAATATGTGGATGTAACACCCTCAGATAAAAGGTTACAACCCTGATCTCTTTAAGGTTGACAAAATACACCGCACTAGTTAGTACTGTTTAGATCTAGGAAATGTATAAACGAGCATGATTTTCACTAAGTGCTCGTCAACAAAACTTAAATAAAATTGTCTTTTCAAGTATGTTGGGATTTGAAAGGATCACAGGGCTTTAATTTAGGAACGGTTCTGTTTCTTTATTTCAAATACTCATACAGCACTTTTTGTAAACTGTATTTTGCTGATGATTTAGAAATTGTTCAACAAATCGACTCCATCAATGTCTTTGTACACAATAAACAGTACACAGATTTGGTGTATTTGCAACAATATACTGCTCAATGTATATAACAATATGTATAAATATTATATATGATTCAGTCGGGAAGATTCGTATCTATACTATTTAAATAATTATATAATTGATGCCATCCTGAGTCACGTAAGTTCTGTCAGAGATTTAATAATTGCATTTGATATTCGTCTCAGCTTTTTTGAGCACAACAATTTAGTAGCATCAAAGCTAATAGAGTTTTCTGTTTCATAATTGGACCCTAACAATCTTTCACCAATATCCGGGCTTTGATAGCATTTTATATTGTATTCGTGTATTGTAATGATAGATTTACTATTTTTTGCAACCTCCTCTCGATATACCCGTCTCAGAAATCTATGGCATGAAAAAAAATTAAGTTTCTAATTTAAAATAGATGATATTTTGATTGTACTGAGTTGGCACAGATGATCTTTTGTTATCGTCAAACCATTGTTAGAAACGATGTACTTCTCATCTGTAGCAGACAGTAATATGTATCTCAAAGTACCACTTCATGTTAGCGGTAGAAATTTTGCTGGCATCAATTGTTTTTCTTTAAAAAGTATTCTTCGGTACTAGCTCGAAGACTGTTTTTTGAGATAAGGGATATCTTTGAGGGTATCTTATAGAGATTGGTGCATACTGGGGTCTGTTTAAAATTTTTGCATTACCTTCTCCATGGATCTTTCTTAGGGGTTTCTTGTTGTTAGTTAGAATTCTTTTGAGTTGATCCCAAATACCTGATTTCCTTGCCTGGGTGGAGATTTCTTCAGTTTCTTGTTTCATCTATGCCAAATTTTCTTCTCAATAGGAAATATTCCTGTTTGATCCCTGGCTAAATTTGGAACAATGTTTGTTATACGTAGAGATAATAGCATCCAAAATCGGTCTGCTTCCAACTCTTACTGTAGAATTCCTTTTTCATTTCAAAATAGTTGTATGACTTGGAAGGAATATAATATGTATATTTGTTGATGTTCTTACACGAGAAACATCGTTTTCGCAATATATTTTTATCTTATCAATGGATTCATGAAGGGCTAATGAGGCTATTATTGTTAATATTAAAGCTACTGGTACAGTTTTGTGTGCAACATTTTCAACACATAAGAAGAGGTCCAATGACGTAAGACCAGTTGATCTGGTTTTCGTTGTTGATTTTCTTGTTGAATTTAAAAATAATGACATTTTGTAATCAACAATGGAGAAGCATTTCAAATGATGTGTCACGTTTCTTATGAAAATTTAGGGAAAGCGCAATCCTAAGGGTGTTATATATATATATATAGATAAATATTACGCAGTGGGATCTGATTCATTTTTCCAAAGTATTTCGATTTTTTCATATAGATAGAAATAAACTATGGCTGAAGTAATTAATGTATTCAATTGAACAGATCCAAACTGGGTAAGATAACTGAGTTGAAGCTAATTTTAATTTTATTACTTTCATCCTGACTCCTTTTTTATTAAATTTGTCTGATGAGTTCATATAGGAAAAGTGATGAAATTTTTCATCTCACACAAACAATATTCTGATGAGTTTTACTGCTGTGGAAAGTAATTTTCTATGAAACCTGAAGTCTGTTACCCAGTATTTCGTATGAAAAACCTAAATTTTGCGTGCGATGTAAACATTTCAAATTTACCCAGAATTCAATGAAAAAAAATTGAAAACATGGCACACTTCCCATTATTTCTATGCCCTAGGCTGGAACCCAAAAACCTGTTAACCCACAAACCCTTATATTCGAGTCTTCAAATTGGATCAAATAAAATTTAAATTCATTCGCAACATATCCCAGCCCCTTTCATTAATCATTTTAACGCACATGTTCCCCGAAACGTGTCAAAGGGTTAGTTTGTTAGTTAATCACTTGTTCAAACGCCGCACTTACTTTCATTGTGGACGGTAATCGATAGGGGGTTGCAAAACTCCTGATCAAGTGCAGAATTGTCAGTGTTCACCACCCGTGTCAAAATCTGTCTACATGTCGATGCCCTCTGAAAATTTACCCTCTGAACGACTGCGGTCTAGTTTTTTATGTTTTTATGAATAGTAGATGACTCCCTTTGGACGATCTGGGGTATTTTTTATGTCTCTCAACAGTTGCACGAGTGCTTTGATACATCTGGTCCATTCGCAAGCTCTGTCTTTTGTTACGATTTGAATAGTTCATCTCGAAGAGTTTTTTTGTGTTGGTGTATCAATGGAACAGTCATAGACCTGAGTACCTACTTTAGTAATAAATGAGACCTGTTTTCACCATTATCGGAAGTATAAAACATGTTGAAAATAATTCACATAGAATCAGAAAGTTGTTCAGTCTTTATGTTTTGAATTGAAGTGAACATTTTCACTTCTCGGGGAAACATATGAAAACATTCGGATTTTCACTCTTGAAATACTTGAAAACCTGAAAGAAATATTCAGTCTATTTATGGAAAAACTGGATGGAACTGTTTACACTTTAGACATACAAGAAATTATTGATTCATCCATCAGTAAATCAGTATTATCTCAATTTTCTGTCAGTTATCACTTTTGTTTTTTTTTTACGTAGTATTATCATAGTTTTGAATACGTTTTTAAAATAAAATCACTTTTATCAAAAATTAGTTACTGATATATTTTTCTGTTGACAGTTTTTCTCAAACCTTTCAATCTGTGAATTTCAATATGATTCGTAACTTTTACATGGTAAATGTGAATTATTCACTTCCACAATATGAATTAGGTACAATCGTTGAGATTTGTTTCTCTGCGGATAATATCACAATATTTCTATTAAATTGAAAATGGAATATTTCTGTTAGAGATTGGGAAGAAAGTTTTTTTCCCTTCTGCTCATCCATTATTGAAAAATATGTGGAAAACTGCTAAGGAAAGAAATAATAACTACAATTGAAACTTTCCAGAAAGATGATGTTCATGCTCAGAAATTTCTTTCAGATACAAACTAGAAAAAAAAACTTTTTTGAAACAACTGAACATAAATTTCGAATTACACGAAAATTTTTTTTTCTCATTCAATGTGTACTCCAAACGTACGTTACGGAAATGAAATGAATATCATTCTCATAGGAAGGCTTCATACCGTAATATATGAAAGAGTATCATCACATGAAATACTATCATTCTTATGGTGTACTTCGAAGTTTCGTGACGAGAGGCGAACTGCTTCAATTCTATAATGGATGTTTGGAGTTTAAATCCAATGGACAAAGGTGATTTTTGTGTAATTCAATTTTCATATGAAAATTGTTGTTTCAGAAGAACATTTTTATTTCTAGTGCTTCAATATTCATGTAAAAATAGTTTATTCTTTCAGTTTGTATCTGAAAAAACTTGTTTACATGATCTACTCATCATTGTTCTCATTGTAGTTTTTATTATCTTATATTCTTTCTTTTTTTGGAAGTTTCCACATTTTTATTTAATGATGGAGAATTGGAAAGCCAAAAAGCGTTTTTTCCAAAAAATTTTAATAATTTGTATCTCAGGAATAATAACGTACAAAAGAAATGTGTAGATGACTGTTGTATTAAATAAAATAACATATCAGAGCATATTTGAATTATGCAAAAGAAATAGTTCATCACCTAATTGCTCACAAAGCTATTTACAAATATAACCTATAAATTTTGATAAGAGATAAAGGATAAAAGTTATAGGACTTCCTCAAATTTTGAAGTCGATAGCAAAGTTCAAATCAAATTCCTCCAAATTATCCAGACGCCTATATTTATTTCCTTTTTAAGTTTAATTGTCAAGAAATATTCAGCAGTTTATCTTCTTTTTTTCAAAAGTAGGTAATCTGCAGTAATGGTCAATAGCTGCACTTAATAGATATATCTAATGTCGTAGTATTGTCAAAATCTTGCCTTCACCAAATCATCTTTCTAGAAGAATATTTTGGTTTATTTCCACTTTTTTATCGATTTTGGTCAATGAAAATTAAAGAAGATGCATATTTTCATATATTATGGACAGAAAAGTAATGAATATATCCTCAAAATACACTCCACGTCATTGAATTTTGTCAACGAGTCAGTCAGCTAAACCTTTCGTCTTCTTTTTTCACTAATATTTTTTATTCTTGTCTTTTGTTAATAGATTGTTATTAACAACACCCTTGAGAGCTATTTCAAATATATGTCTTCTTTTGTCATGAGCGTTATGATGAAATAATAAATATATTGACCAAAACTGATGCTTTTCACAACAATTATCAGATGTCAAATATCATTTCAAGGAAAAATGTCTATTGACTAATATAAAAATATTCAACAGCAGAAAATCAATAAATTGAAAAATCAAAATGAGAAATGTTATTATGTCGGTAGACAGAAAGTATTCAATGTGTACTAAAAATGTTTCAGTATCAAAAAATGTTTTCAGGAAGTTAATTCATTCTTCTTTTTCGTTCGCTAACTTTTTTTTTGTTTTTTTGTACATGTACTGAATAGTATTGAATATAAAAAAATGTTTTCATTAAATTAGTATTCAAGTAATACTTCATTATGATATTTCCACTTG